ACATAACAGCTTCGGGTCAGACTTGACTTTCGATGCTATGTCATTTTCGTATTGTCGCTGAGCCTCCCTTCTTATCTGTACATATTCGTTTCTGGCTCTTCGGCTGATCTCTTTATTTTCCTGGGTCCTTTGTCTTCTGTACCTTTTCCATTCGGTAGTACACCTAGTTTTTGCCTCCCTACACCTTTGGGTGAACCAAGGACTCATTTTGGTCTTCCCATTATTTCTCTTTCCCTTGCGAACAAACCTCTCCTCTGCCTCCTTGCATTTTAATGTTACATAGACCATCATTTTTTTTACTGTGTGTGTGTGTGTACTTACCTAGTTGCCTCACCTAGTTGTGGTTGCAGGGGTCGAGTCATAGCTGCTGGCCCCGCCTCTTCACTGGCCTTTAAAAGGTCACTCTCCCCACACCATAAGCTTTATCATACTTCTGCTTAAAGCTATGAATGGATCCTGCCTCCACTCCATCGCTTCCCAAACTATTCCACTTCCTGACTACTCTGTGACTGAAGAAATACTTCCTAACATCCCTGTGATTCATCTGTGTCTTCAACTTCCAAATGTGTCCCCTTGATGTTGTGTCCCATCTCTGGAACATTCTGTCTCTGTCCACCTTCTCAATTCCTCTCAGTATTTTAAATGTCGCTATCATGTCTCCCCCTATCTCTTCTGTTATACAGTGTCGTCAGATCGATTTCCCTTCACCTCTCCTCGTAGGACATATCCCTTAGCTCTGGGACTAGTCTTGTTGCAAACCTTTGCACTTTCTCTAGTTTCTCTACGTGCTTGGCTACATGTGGGTTCCAAACTGGTGCTGCATACTCCAATGTGGGCCTAACATGCACAGTGTACAAGGCCCTGAACGATTCCTTATTAAAATGGCGGAATACTGTATTTAGGTTTGCTTGGCGCCCATATGCTACAGCAGTTATTTGGTTGATGTGCTCCTCAAAAAGTGTGCCTGGTGTTATACTCACCCCAAAATCGTTTTCCTTGAGTGAGGTTTGTAGTCTATGGCCCCCCTAGACTGTACTATGTCTGCTGTCTTCTTTGCCCTTCCCCAATCTTCATAACTTTGCACTTGGTGGGGTTGAACTCCAAGAGCCAATTGCTGGGCCAGGCATGCAGCCTGTCCAGACCCCTTTGTAGTTCTGCCTGATCCTCGTCCTATTGATTTTTTCTCATCATCTGCCAACAGGGACACTTCAGAGTCTATTCCTTCCGTCACGTCGTCCAAAATACCAGAAACAGCACCGGTCCTAGGACTGACCCCTGTGGAGCCCCACTCGTCACAGGTGCCCGTTCTGACACCTCGCCACGTACCATGACTCGCTGCTATCTTCCTGACAGGTATTCCCTGATCCATTGTAGTGCCTTCCCTGTTATCCCTGCCTGGTCCTCCAGTTTTTGCACAAATCTATTGTGTGGAACTGTGCCAAACGCCTTCTTACAGCCCAAGAAAATGCAATCTACCCGCCCTCTCTCTCTCTTGTCTTACTGCTGTCACCCTGTCATAGAACTCCAGTAGGTCTGTGACACAGGATTTCCCATCCCTGAAACCGTGTTGACTGTTGTTGATAAGCTCATTTCTTTCTAGGTGTTCCACCACTCTTCTCCTGATAATCTTCTCCATGACTTCTTGTCTGTCCACTTTTTTAAAAACTTGGACTGCATTTGCTGTCTTCCATACCTCAAGTAATCTCCCTGTTTCGATAGATGTGTTGAATATTGTTGTTAGAGGTACACATAGCACCTCTGCTCCCTCTCTCAAGACCCATGGAGAGATGTTATCCAGTCCCATCGCCTTTGAGGTGTCTAGCTCGCTCAGAAGCCTCTTCACTTCATCCTCGGTTGTATGTATTGTATCCAACACTTGGTGGTGTACCCCACCGCTCTGTCTTTCTGGAGTCCCTTCTGTCTTCTCTGCAAACACTTCTCTGAATCTCATGTTGAGTTCATCACATACTTTGCGGTCGTTTCTTGTGATCTCTCCTCCTTCCTTTCTCAGCCTGATTACCTGGTCCTTGACTGTTGTTTTCCTCCTGATGTGGCTGTACAACAGTTTTGGGTCAGATCTGGCTTTCGCTGCTATGTCATTTTCATATTGTCAATGGGCCTCCCTTCTTACCTGTGCACAGTCATTTCTGGCTCTACGACTGCTCTCCTTATTCTCCTGGGCCCTTTGCCTTCTATACTTCTTCCATTCCCTAGCACACTTGGCTTTGCCTCCCTGCACCTTTGGGTGAACCACGGGCTCATCCTGGCTTTATCATTATTCCAGTTACCATTGGGTATAAACTTCTCCTCAGCTTCCTTGCATATTGTTGCCACATATTCCATCATCTCGTTAACTGACTTCCCTGCCAGTTCTCTGTCCCACTGAACCCTGTTCAGGAAGTTCTTCATTCCCTTTCTTGTAGTTCGGTTTTGTTCGTCGGCTCTTCCTGTTCCCCATTCACTTGTAGCTCTACTGTGCGTTCAAAAAATTAAAACCACA